GGCCGCCAACAGCCGCGGGCAGACCGAAGGCCGGAGGCGCGCGAATCGCGAGCATGCTGTCGAGGAGCTAGCCTGGATCAGGGCCGATTGCGAGGTCATCTGCGAGTTCGATGAAGGCTGGTGGGTTCAGACAGGGATCCCTCGCGCGCTGGGGCCACCTGATCATGGCTACCGCGGCGGCGCGGAGATCGAGTTCGATGGCGCCGACTCGAGACGCGCCGGCAGCGAGCCTTCTGACGCCGACGAGACCTCCGTCATATACGAAGAGCCTTGCGTCGGAGCCCAGCGCCCTGCGCGCGAACGCGCTCCGCGCCCTTGGGCCAAGCGGAGGCGCCGCCCCCGTCTGTCAGAGGCCGCGGAGGCTCGAAGATTTGGCAATTATGTATTCTGAAGGTGAACAAGAGGGCGAGGCCTTCTGCCACGACGCGCGAAAGGTAATGCCAGAACTCCCAGAAGTGGGCCAACGAGAACGGTTTGGAGCTCCTACAGCTCGGAGGACATCGACCTGAGCATGCTGGAGTATTCGGAGGAGTTCTATCCAGGTCCACAACCACGACGTGGGCGCGAAGGTCTTCGGCGCTGGAGTACCTCACGCCTGGCATTCGCAGCGGGCAAATGCTGGGTCGGTCCAAGATAGCGCTCAAGGTCTTTCGGAGGCTGGCGCCCAGGCTAAGTCGAGCTCCGCTGCCATGGGTCGGCATCCGCGCCCTGGTTGGGGCCTACTGGAGTTCTCGCAGTGTCTTGCGTTCTCGCAGTGTCTGGGCTTGAGGGCGCAGCAGCTGGTGCCACCCTTGGCGGGATCAGGGACGAAGTTCTGGGCTCTGTTGCTTGCTCCAGAAGAGGAGGCAGTTCCTTGGAAGACCAAGGAGTTCGACGAGTTCCCCCTCCTGGAAGGCATGGGGCCGACGCATGTGCACCCGCGCTTCTTGGCCAGGCAGTCGAGGCCGGGAAAGGAGAAGTTGTGGTCTTTTGATTATTGGATGTTCTCGACCACCTGTGGGAGGTCTGCAAACGGGCGGGGCTCCGGGGCTAAGACATTCACCCGCCCGCGCCGCGCCACGGCGGGGCCGGCGACGACGCCCGCGCGCCGAGGGCGCTGGGCCGCCGACACTTCCGTCCAGAAGTGCGAGAAGCACGCTCGAGTCCTCAAGTCGCTGGAGAACTTCCAAGAGGCCGTTCGCACCTTCGGGAACCGGGTCGCGCGGAGGGCGCGCGCTCCCGCGCCGCCAGGATTGGTCAACAAGCGCCCGGTCGCGAAGAAGTAAGGGGGCCTTTTCGTCGAGGCCGCGGGGAACACAACGCGGGATGAGACGGACATCTCCCGGCAGGACTAATTCGAGCAAGATTGCGGAAGCTGTGGCGGTCAGCCGCACAAGCAAGCCATGGCAGCGCAGTTTTTCGAGATCTGTTCTCAGGAAGGAGCAGCGCCACCTGCTAGCTGGAGGGGCTGGGCGAAGCATGCGTCAGCTTTTGGTTCCATGGGCCGCCCCGAGTTCGACCTCTCCAAAACTGCGGCCCATTCCGTCATCCTCGGGCGGGGGCCCAGGCTGGCCTCGTCAAGTGTTCTTTTTTGTTTGTCGCCACCTTCTTGCGCGGCAGCTGGGCGCCCGCAGCGCCTCCAACCCGTCAGAACTAGTGGTCGCAACGTCCTGTCTGGCATTTCCCCATGACGGCGGGCGTTGAGACCCCTGCTGGCCTGTCGTTTCCAACTGGGAGCCTGCGGTATTTTCAGACGCTGGAGAATTGGCGCCAGTCCAAGAATGGAGCCCCAGATCACCTGATCGCAACGTCGCCAGGCCGTGCTCCACATTGAACAGGACGTTACCGACGAAGTGGGCGAGGTTCGCCTCTGCCCAGGAGCACCGTTCGTCTGCGTGCCCCGCATGGCGACCGACCGAAAACGAGAAGTCTTGTCTAGTCCACCGCGCACCATAGAAAGCCTCAGTCATGCTACGACGCCCAGTTCCCGCCTCTGCTGGCGACGGTTCTTCTTGTCCAGGAGGGCGCGTCCACTGCGTTTCGCGCGCCGTGGCCCTCAATCGTCTCGCGCTCTAAGACTACTCTGCGGCGGCTCTCCGATTGGGCTGAGACGACGGCGATTCCTGCCTTATCATCTGCAATGGTCATTTGGCGAGGCATGGCGCGCGGGCACGTCGTGAAATTGCGAGCCACTTTTTGGGGCGAAGACGACTCGGATGACGTGCCAGATGCGGGCGCGGTGCGGTTTCTCAACGTCTAGATCGCAATCGTGTGCTTAGGTTGCCATGACGCTGCGCCGTTTTAAAAATACTCCGCACACGTTGTCGCGGCGAATTCAGGGACTGGGATGCATCGCGCCACGACGTGCAGTTCGACTGCGGACCCTCGGAAAGCACATTCCAGCTGGCCGCATGCTCGGCGTCGGCCCAAGCCTTCAGTTTGAGCGAGTGTTGCACGGCTTCGCGGTCCGACTCTCCGCCCCGCCGGTGGAAGACACCCAGCCCCTCGCCCATCAATTGCCCTTTGTTCCAAAGCGGCCGCTGGGCGAAAACTGAAGCAAAGCCCGAGCCAGAGCGTTGGAGACCGCTTGACGCACTGGCCAATCTACAAACCAGAATTTTTTGAGCTGCGGAATTGGTATTGGACGCGCGCCTTAAGACCGTCGATCACTTCAGCTGGGCAGATGACGTGACACTTCTTTCGCCACCCAGATGCACCTGGGGATGCGCACTAACCAGATTGATCGTCGCCATCTCGTGACCCATTGCGAGCGTGCGCGCCCGGGCGAAACGAGCGCTGGCGAGGCTGGCCACGCGCGCCCACGGGGAACCCGAACGGAAACGCACTACCTCCATGCTTTTGTCGAGCAAGACGTTGCCCATTGTCACGAAACGACAAGCTCTTTCTTGCGGCTCTAGACACGGGGTGTTTGGCCGTGCGATCGGATTTTTTCGCCGCCGTTTGGTTCCACGACCGCCCAGGCGGCGCGCGTGCATTTCCACGCCCATCGTTGCGTTGCGCGCGCCGCCTGGTGGCCCAAGACGAACGGCGTCTCTGCGAACGGCTCCTGGGGACCACCTCTGGGGCGAAAGCGCTTTGGATGACGTGCCAAATGTGGGCGCGGTGCGGTTTCCCAGCGTCTAGATCGCAATCATGTGCTTAAGGTGCCATGACGTTGCGCCGTTTTAAAAATAGTCCACACACGCTGTCGTGGCGAATTCAGGGATTGGGATGCATCGCGCCACGACGTGCAGTTCGACCGCGGGCCGTCGGAGAACGGATTCCCTATTGGTCGCGTGTTCTCCGTCGGCCCAAGCATTCAGGTTGAGGGCGTTGCGCACGGTTTCACGGCCGGCACTTCCGTGCCACAGGTAGATGACAGCCGGCTTTTCGCCAATGTGTTGCCATTTGTTCCAAAGCAACCGCTGGGCGAAGGCCGAAACGAAGTCCGAGCCAGTCGTGATGTATGGCGCAAGGTCCCTCTCATGGGGTATATTGCGTCCTGTACACCCTGAGGCAGACTCATGTCTGAACCATGGCAAACAACCCCTTCTGTTCTCGTCCCCCTCCTCCTCATACTCATTCGTTACCTCTTGTTTCCAGATTCGTCGGTTCCTGTTTTTTACATCGGGGGGCCTTCCAGCAGCTACGCCTCGTCGAGGGCGTTTCTTTTGTGCCGTGCCGGAATCGTCCCGATTGGCCGCTTGAGACCAGAGTTATGATTGAGAAACCCAACATCTAAAATGTGGAACAAACGCCTGTGCTTCACAGTTTTCGCGTTGGGGGGGTCTTCACCAGGCGTCGAGACTGAAAACGTCAGGATGGAAGGACGACTCTGCGAAAAGAGCCGAGACTTCGGATACCCAACATTGAACAAACAATACGTCGAATATGTGGGTCGTTATCGACACGCGATAACTCCGTTGCCATGTTGGTTCTGGGTGCCCGCGTTCCACTTAGCACGCTGCGGTTCTCAGTCTAGCGTCGCACACTGTCGTTATCCATTTGCCTACGGCAAGTCCCGCCATCGTGCCAGCCCAGCATTCTGGGTGGCGACTGTTCGACTGGGTACGGGAGGCCTTCACGTGCGTCGCCTCGTGTCACTAAGCTTGCGAGGGGCCGTAATGAGGATGATGGGGTTGATGATGGTGACGAGAAGCAAGAGGAGGAGCAGGAGGAGGGGGGGAGAAAGAGGAACGTCCGATGTGACACCCGTCGCCTTCGCTTCTTAAAGAGCTTTCAAGGCTCATGTGCAAGGCAGTCGTCGGGGTCCCTTGGAGCTTTCTTGTGGCCCTCTCAGGCCGTCGCGGGGTACTGCTAGGCACCCTCTGGGCCGTATGGATGGTGTCTTGGGATCCTCTTGGCGCCATCTTTGGCCATCGAAGGGGTTTCTAAATCCGTCTTGGATCTATCCAGGGGCCTTGTTGGGCCGTAGTAGGGCCGTCTTGGAGGCATCGTTGGCCATTTTGGAGTCCTCGTGGGTCGTGTTCGGACTCGCTTGGCATCTTGGAGATGTCTGGGCCGTCTTGAGCTGACGGACGCCCGAAAAAGTGGCGATGCGAAAGTCCTTCAGCAGCCTGTTGGAAAATTCGATGCTCAGGGCCACGTCGGGCCCTGCTGGGAGGCGTCTTGGGCCGTCTTTTGGCCATCTCGGGCCGTATTCGGGGCATTCGTAGGCCGTATCTGTCTGGGGTACGGAGGACCAGTTTGGCAGCCTTGCTTTGCTCCCTCCGCGGTCTTGGAAGCTCGGGAGCGCGGGCCCAGCGCTTTGACACACGGGGTCGTGGCTTCGAGAGCGCAGACCTGTGTTGTTTTGCACGGGTGAGTGGTCATGGCCTCGGGAGGTGGGGGTGCGGTGCGTGCCCTGGATGCTCGTAGGGGGGGGGCACTGGAAGACTGTAGAAGCCCTCAGCACTTGGCATTCTACCACGCCTCAGCGTGCCAGGCGGCACCGTGGCAGAGTAGAGTGGATATCCAAAGCCCAGTGCCGATACTTTGATTGATTGAAACGGCTTCGAAACATGTCAACGCCGGCAGATGCAAAAGTGGAGGCCTCATCACAGCGAGTACGTCGTCTCGTGCGAGTGTGCCACGACGCAGCGACTGGAGATTCACGTTTCGACGACGAGGCCGAGGTGGCGATGGTAGAGAAGATGTTTGCGCCTCCAGCGCCGTCGCTCTTCGCCTCGGACAAGATGCCAGTGTCGAATTTTCTGCTGGTGGAGACGTTGCCGGGATGGGGCGGGGACGTGGCGCACCCAACTCCAGCGAAGCAGTATTGCATGTGTCTGAGAGGCGGGTGCAGGATAACGGTCAGCGACGGAGAGTCGCGCGAGTTCGGCGTGGGTGACGTGTGGTTGCTCGATGACACGGAAGGCAAGGGCCACGTCACCCACACGCCGACCGAGAGTTTGTTTGCTATGGTTCAAGTCTGATCCGCGGTGTCGATAGCCATGGGTCAATCGAATGACGGGGGGAGCTGTTGCGGACAACAAGGCACGGAGTTGTGTCGAGGGGTTAATTGAATGACGGGGGGAGCTTTTGCGGACAACAAGGCACGGAGTTGTGTCGAGTGGTGCACCAAGTGTTGTGGTGACGTCTTGGTCGGGCTGACGGCTGACAGGATGATGCTGTGGTGCGTTTGAAAAGCGATTGTTCCCCCCTTGCTCCCTCATCACGGGAGTATGGGCAGAGGAAGAGGAGGCAGGGGTCATGAGGAGGAGGAAGGAGTGAGGGATGGATGGGAATCGAGAGTGGTGGGGGGGGTCGGGGAAGCGCGGAGGAGGAGGACGACGAGGGAATTGGATTGGCTTGTTTCGCGCCAGGTTATCGTGCACATCCTTGGTATCATGAAGGGGTTCGTGTTCCTTCTCCCGCTGGGTCAGATAAAGCAGATCTCAAAAGATGAAGATAAGCAATGGCAGGTCACCGCACCACAGTGTTCTCTTTGCTTGCTTGCTTCCGGCGCGGCAGTCGGCATAGTTCCAGTGAGTTCCGAATACGAGCGCACATGTGCCTCTCTGCAGTTCACGGAGGACAGAGGGAGAGGAGGAGAGAAGGAGGGAGGGAGGAGGAGGGAGGACCGAGGGGGAGGAGGAGGAGAAGGAGCAGGAGGAGGAGAAGGAGGGGAGAGGAGGAGGGAGGATACGTATGGGTGCTAGGAGGGAGAAAGCAGGAGTAGGGAGCGAGAGGGATAGCGAACGAACAGGGAAGAGAGAGTCAGGGAAAATATGATTGTTATTCTGAAGGTCTTGTGGCCGGTGCCGCCGACCCTGAAGACGATAAGGGCGAGGAGAAGGAAGGGGGAGAGGAAGAGCAGCAGGAGGAGGAGGAGGCGGAGGACGCGGTGAAGCAGCAAGAGGGGGGGAAGGAGGATGAGAAAGGCGAGGTCGAGGGAAGGTGGGGGAAGTGCACTCGGGGGAGTGCACTCGGGGGAAGTGCACTCGGGGGAGTGGGGGCGGGGGGGGGGCATGATGAGGAGGAAGGAGCGGGATGAGGAGGAGGAGTAGGAGGGTAACGGTGACGAGGAGGAGGAAGAGAAGGAGAAGCAGGAAGAGGAGGAGGAGGACGCCGTGGAGCAGGAGGGGGAAGATGAGGAACAGCGTGCGGAGGAGGACGACGAGAGGGCGTTGTGGCAGAAGGATGTCGAGACAAGCAATGAGCAGGTGGAGTATGATGAAGACGAGATGGAGGAACATGAGCAGGAGGGTGAGGAGCAGGGGGCGGAGGGGATGCTTGTCGGGGTCTCTTCGGAGCGCTTTCGGGTGCCTCTGGTGGGCAGTTTGGGCGCGTTTTGGGAAGACTCTTGGAGGGCATCGTGGGAGCCTCTTGGGGGCCTCCAGGGGCTTCCTAGGGGCTTCTTGGGGGCGGCTGGGAGGCCTCTTGGGACCTCCTGAGGGCTCGAGATGTCCGTTCGGCTCTCCCGTCTGAGCACCCTCTTGGATCCGTCTTGGGTGTTGCTAGACATGTCTTGGAGGCGTCTCGGGCCGTCGTGGGGCCCTCTGGGGCCCTTGTGGGAACCTCTTGGAGGACTTCGAGCCGTCTAGGGGCGATCCTGGGGGCCTCTGATGCCGTTGTAGAGCGTCGGGCAGGCTGACGAGGGGAGGGCGCCAGAAGTTCGCAAAAACCAAAAGGGAGATTGATGAATCATGCTTCTGGGTGCATTCGTGGGAGTGCTTCTGGAGGCCTCTTGGGCCGTGGTTGGGCCGTCTTGAAGGCCTCTTGGGCCGTCCAGGGCGGTCGGCAGCTCGAAAAGGCGGTACCGCCAAAATCGTTCGAAAACCAGGCAGAATCAATTGATGTTTGCGTTATCGGAGCTTCTCGAAATCCTCTTGGGACCCTCTGGAGCGTCTTGGGCGCTTCTTGGACCTTCTTGGGACCATCGTGGGCCATCTTCGAACGCTTGGCCTGAGGCCGTGGGGCGTGCCACCCTTTTGGCGCCTCATTGTGGCGTTCGGGGAGCCCCAGAGGCCGCGCCCAGGAGTTCTGGCACCTCTGACCCGACCTTGCGGGGACACTGCCAGGACTTGCCGAGACTCTGCCCGGGTTTTTCTCGTCCGGGGACTCCCAGGTGCCGCCACGCGCGTGCGAACTAGCAACATTCTGAAACTCTGACCGGATATTTTAGCACGCCTCTGGCCCGTTGGGCTGGCAAATTCTGTAGAGATGAGAATTCGACGACAAGCAAACCATTTTTGCCACCTTAGAGTCCCGCCACAGAGGGCCCGAGAAATGTTCAAGACGAGCCGCAGACCACCCGATACCGCCCTGCAGCAACCATCTGGGACCAAGAAAAGTTAGCTCAGAGAGCCGATCCGGTCGATACCTCACCCCGTGCTTTCGCGCCGCCGCGATGTGCAACGCAGAGGCCGCTCGGATGCAGCGCCCAGGGGGTGTGACGCCCGCAGCCGATACCAGGGAGGTGCTCAAGCTGGAGAAGAAGCTCCGGGAGATGCGGAAGATCGAGAAGCTCGTGAGTGCTGGCGAGCGCGTGGACCCCCTGCAGCTGCAGAAGCTGGGCCGAATGGCAGCGGTCGAGGCAGAGTTGGCGGAAGCCAGGAACATCGTCTCCTGCGAGACGACGACTGCGGCGTCCCACGACGGCGGGGCTTCCGACGGCTTCCAGGAGGCCGCGGATCACGCGCAGGCGGACGAGGCGGCGCAGGTGCAGTGGGACGGGTCCGCCCACGAGCAGCGGCAGGAGGCCTGCCCACAGTGGCACCAGGCGTTCGCAGTGAGTGACCAGACCACCACGATGGCCAGCTTCGCGCCCATGCCCATGGTCCAATGCCTGGTGCCCGTGCAGATGTCGCAGCCGAGCGGGCAGCAGGCCCCGAAGAGACATAATCTGAACCAGCACAGCTGCGCATCAGCAGAAGGCAGACAACATGCCAAGAAGCACCCTGCTTGCCTCCAGGGTGCCCTGGCTTTCTTGGGCTTCGATGGCGATGGAAAGCCTGACGTTCCCACACCAAAAAATCCATGGAGGTCCTGGGGTCTCAGGGTCGGGTTTCCTGTGGGAGGTTTCTTGCGGACTGGCCCCCACTGTAATTGTTCGACGGTCCGCGCGGCCTTCTTGGATCTGCGATCTGCGCTGGACCTCCCTCTGGCGGCGCCGCCTCCGACGCGCCATCCGCGCGCCAGGGGCGGGGGGGGCGCCGCCAGCACAGATCTCTGAAATCCGCGCGGACCGTCGAAGGTCGATGTTCAGAGCCCCGAATCATCAGGGGTAACTCGGGTCAGGGATAACTCGGGTTCGTTTTTCGGGAATCCAAACCCGAGTTACCCCGGACCCGAGTTACCCCGGATAACTCGGGCGTCCAGAGCCCCGAATCATCAGGGGTAACTCGGGTCAGGGCTAACTCGGGTTCCTTTTTCCGGAATCCAAACCCGAGTTACCCCGGACCCGAGTTACCCTGGATAACTCGGGCGCCCAAGATGTCTACAGTGGGGGCCCATGCCAAGAAACACCCTGCTCGCCTTCAGCCGGGCCTGTCCCTCTACAGGAGGACTTCGTCTTCGACGGTCTTGCCACGGAGGGCGTGACGCTCCCACACCAAAGATCCACGGAGGCCCTGGGGTCTCAGGGTTGGGTTTCCCGTGGAAGGTTTCTGGCGGACTGGCCTCCGCTGTGTGCCGTCGTGCCTTCCTCCTGAGGTCCTCTCGTGGAGCCACCACGCCGACGGGGCATGCGCCGTCTGGGCGCCGCAGGCGCCGCTCGGCGCGGGCCACGTGCTCGTGATGCTCCAGCCCGTCGCCCCGCAGGCGGCCCCCGAGGCTGCCCCGCACCCGGCCGGGGCGGCCTCGGCTCGAGGCGGCGCCCCGTGCCCCGTCCAGCAGCGCCAGCACGGGGGCAGGCGCAGGACGGTCGACCGCGTGCCGGTGGCGCAGCAGGAGTATGCGGGTTTGCCTGCGGCAGGGCGCCGCCACCGTGCCAGCCGAGCACTCGGGCGGCGAGCGGCGGGAGGCCGTGGCGCGCGGCGGCGTGGCGCAGGTGCCGGAAGCGAGGGCGCAGCGGAGTCGCATGATGGCGAGGGGGATCGCACGCCAATAAGGGAGAGAGAGAGAGAGAGAGAGAAGTCCGACGGTTCAGCAAAAAACCCAGGGGGGGTCCATTGGAGAGGACCTTTTTGTCACCCTGGCAGGAAGACCACAGACCTGCCAGGGGCCAAAACAGAACCCCCCTTAGGACAAATCACAACCGACTTGCCCGTGTGGCGGACGAGGGGGAAGACGAACATGATGATGCTGATGGCGATGCTGTTGATGGTGGTGGTGGTGACGACGGGGTTTTGGCGATTGTGGTGGTGATGTTGATGGTAATGCCAATGATGAGAATGAGGATGCGGTGGAGGACTGAGAGGACGGCCCTCACATGCGGCACTTGTTCATCTTCCCTTCTTGAAGGGCTCGCGTGAAGCTCATTTGGGCCGTCTTGAAGCTGTCGTGGGCCCCTGTGGGGCAGTTTTGCTGGTCACCGGGGCCACGTTGGACAGTTGTTTAGCTCCCTTGAGCCGCCGAGGGGCTGACTAAGGCCGTTTTGCGCGGGCCAGCTCGGGGCTCTCTTGGAGTCATCGTGGGCCGTCTAAGGGCCATCTTGGGCTGTCTTGATGCCGTCTCGGGGCCATCTTGGAGGTCTCTGGGGAAGTCTGGAGCCGAGCCAAGCCCAAAAGGGTGGGGGCGCCGATATCTTTCGAAAACCTTTGACACTCCATGACTCCTCTCGCTTCGCGGGGTGCACGCCCGGAGCACGGGCACTTCAGCAGTTGTGGGGCCTCCTGGGAACCTCTTAGGAGCCTCTGGCGGCCTCGTGGGGGGCCCTGGGGGCCCCTTTAGAACTTCCGGGGCCTCTTGGGGGCCTCTTGGGCAGTCTTGGGGCGCTCTTGCGCCGTCGGGCCTCTCCAGAAGCCGTTTGGGAGGCCTTTCCGGCTGCAGGCGCTCTCTTGGGGTTCCCTTGGGCCGTCTTGGGGTAGACGAGTGGTGAGGTTTGTGGTGGACGGAGGCGGGGGTGGGAAGGGGGAGGACTAGGAAGAAGAGACGGGAATCCGCGGAGAAAGGAGGGGGGGGGGAGGAGGAACACGCGGAGCAGGACCACAATGACAAAGAGGAAAGGGGGGGCCACCCCTCGTCGCCACCGCGGCCGCGGCCGCCATCACCTCCTCCTCCTGCTTCTCTTTTTCTTCCTCCTCCTCTGCCCCCCCTCCACTTCCTCCTCCTTTTCTTTCCAAAAAACATGTGGCGTTGGGTCCTCGTGCTGAAGAGGGCGCCCCGCGTTCCTCACTCCCTCGTCCTCCGGCATGACAGCAGAGGAGACAGACGCACAAAGGCCGGCGGAAAATGGGGAGGGAGAGGTGCGGCTGCGGGAGAGCGGGGGGTCTATCGAGCAGCTGCCGGCCCACCCCGCCGCCGTGCCCTGGGCAGAGGG